TTTCAGAAGATTTCGCTTTTGAAATTATGCCACGGAGCACTGCCCAGATATTACCCTTAGCATTATTATTTACGCACTCCATCTTTGTTGTGGTCTATTTAACAGTTACATTTTGGTTCATTTTAACCCCTAAATGTTTTACGATAATTTCTAATATCTCTATATTTAGTCTCATCTATATGTATATTTGATTGTCTACGATATTTGCCTATATTCGTCAACGAAATCAGCGTAAAAAGCCAGAAGTTCGCTTTTGTGTATTTTTGATTTTGCATGAAAGTTATTTTCAGCGTTTCGGTAGAATGGAAATGTTGGTATTTTTTTCAAGCAAAAGTAGTGGTCCATACTACACGCTGTCCTTAACTCTAATTTCATGCCAGATTTCGTATTCCTTGGTTTCTATGTGTGACCAGAAACATTTTTAGTTGTTGCTCCATTTCAACCCCTAAATATATTGCGGACATATTTGAAAACAATAGGCCTAGCTCTTGTGATCCTAACCCTAGCTTTGTGAAGATTTTTGTGAGGATCGGACTATAATTTCAATCTGTATATAATATCCCCAACATGTGTTGTAAGGTGAAAAAAATATTACAAAATTTACATTTCAATATTATAAGTCAAATTGAAAAACTAGCATGCGATAAAAAATATGAAAAAATAAATATATGTCACAAAATACTACAAAATACATATTAACATCATTATTGACATCTTTTTATGCAATATTTTCTAGATTTTATACTTTTATGTCAAGAGGGCATTCTGAATTGACAAAATTTATCAAAATCGGTCCAGCCATTTTTGAGATATAAGCATTCTAGCTAACATCCCCCTCCATTGTATATATACATTGTATATATTTCGCTATATATATCCGATATATTTACTATCGGCATCTATGTAATGGTCAGAATTGGCCTGTTCGTCTATTTGTGATTTCGCCTGGATTAAAAATATTCGCGGTTTAATGGAAAATTTTACTTTTATTTAACACAAAGGTTATGGTCTATTTCACCCACTAAATATTACTCGATGGCCATCAAAATTGGAAGGCTTCTGCACAGCCCTAAGCTTTAGCGCCATGCTAACTTTCGCGTCGATTGGTCTATAATTGCAACCTGTAGAGCAACTGCAAAATCAGGAAATTTTTCAGTTTTTGGTCCATTTCAACCCCTATTCTATTCTGGCTCTAGCCCCACCTAACTTCTAAATTTCGTGAAGATCGGGCTATAATTGCGACCTGTAGAGTGATTAAAAATTAACATGGACAGACGGACGGACATACATAGCTAGATCGACTCAGCTCGGCGAGATAGGAAGATCCATATATACTTTCCTATGTGGGAAACCAATATTTCAAGGTGTTACATAATTTTTTGCCCAATCAAACTTATAATACCCCAACACATAGTGTTGTAGGGTATAAACATTGATATGAAATATTTTTGGAATTTTAAGAAAAAATTTTAAATATTTATCATTCCTATTATATAATCTTTATTCATCAGTATTCGCAAATTAAAAACAACCTCTGCGGCAAATTCAAAAACGTATGTTCCGAAATGTTTTGTCCAAAGATAAGGTTCTTTCAACGCGGAAATACAAAAAATAATCGAGATCTGCTATCTGTTCTGAAATACCGTTGCAAATTATGAAATTTTGATTGAAATCAATATTTAAAATATATAATATAATAAGCCGAAACAAAGAGTCGTGCAAAATATAAAAACTCATTAAGTTGTTAAATGCATGACAGTTCCTAATCAATTTCCCCTCGCAAAACATTCAAAGAAAATGTTCATTACCAATAACCACTTTCAAACACTTATTATTTTGGGCAGCATATCCCACCTATATGCCAGTGGAAATCTAAGGGCAATTGAGTCGAATCAAACACAAATTGTGGAATTGAAGCAGTTGATGGTTGAGCAAGATCTATTGGGTTGTTATTTTTTCACCTTTAAGTGTTCGGTGGGTCAACGAAAAACAGGTAAGATATTCGAAATTTGGCAGTGAAAAAAATGAATGCGAAAGAAAAATACGAATTCTACGATTCTTGAAATTTTTGGATTTTTTTTTTGTTTGGAAAACACCCACAGAATTGTTGTTTTTCTTTCCCATTCATTTATCCGACATACCTAAACCGGCCGTTATGAATTTGTTATTTTCCAGCTCGCATCGATTGTGCCAGCAGGGATCATAGTACATGGCCGAAACCCCATGATGTTGAGCTGAACCTAAAATGTCCCAATGGCGGGGGCGGAGGTGAAGGTTCCACTATAGCATTTGCCGAAGTAGTATTCACTGTTACAAATCAAAATGTCAATTGCTTTGTAGCCGCCGGTGGGGTGGGTCAAAACTTCATTCAAATGCATTTGAATGTTGAAGGTACCAGATCATTGGATTACACGGCTGAGTTTTTTGTTAATTGACATTTGGGAAAAATAAATTAAAGAAAATGTAAAAAATATAAAAGGTCATAATTTTTTCTACAACAAAAATTCGATGATTTTTGCTTTGAAAATATTTTCCTAAAAATCTCGACTTTATTTTTAAAAATGACCGAATTTTAGCATTAATGGTTTGTTAAAAAATATTTTTAATATCCACGACCCTAGACTTGATGGTACTTAAAAAAGTCCTTAAACTTCTACGATTTTAATTTTGACAGCTACTACGTCAGCTAAAAGTCCACCTTAAATTTTAGATGCGTTCCAACAGTTTGTGTTAGGCCCTTTTAGTACTCAAAATGCACATTTTTTCCAATTTGACAAAATTGTGTTATCAAAACTTTTTTATACCCTCCACCATAGGATGGATAATAATAATTCCATATCCACCCCATATATCATTTCCAAATATCAGCAAAGAGCTTAATATCAAATTTCAAAAATCCATCCAAACAGAAATCTATCCCAATAGCCAACAGCACATTTTGTGACATCTTGTACTTTTCGCACGCTCATAGTACGCATTTTCCAAACCACCATCTTCTCACATCTAAAGACACCAACAGTGACATCCATATTAAATTTGAGGATTTCAGCTCTATCGCTTCACCCAATACCAAGCTTAATAGCAATTTGGTGATTTCGTACAGTTAAAGTATGCATTTTCAAAACAATTCCCATATCTCAACCTCAGATACCTAAAGTTATCTAAATATCAAATTTCAGAATTTTATCTCTATCCCTTCATTCAATATAAATTTTTGTTGTATTAAGTACTTTTCGTACAGCTATAGTCCCCGCTATTTCAATTCGGAGACCTCAATATCAAATTTGTTAAGGCTACATCAGAGAAACTAATGCCAAATTTCAGGTTGTAAACCCAATCGGTTCATACAATATCAAATTGTACCAAATATAGTACTATTTAGTACTTTTCGTGCACTTTTAGTACACATTTCCAAAACAAGCTCTTTATTACAAAACTACCACAAACAGGGGGCCAAATACAATATTTCAAAATTCCAGCTTCATCCGTTCACCCTACTAATCCGAACTCTTCCAAATTTGGTACAGCTCGCACACCTGGTACGAATTTTCAAAATAACCTTCATATATACAGGGTGAGATAAAAAAACTGTAACAAAGCCAAACGCCATAATTTTTACATTTTTCTATTCAAAATTTTATTGAATAAAAGCTAAAAGTATCGCAAATAGCATCAAATTTTAGAATAAGTTTAGATTTGTTCGAATTGGTCACCTTTGGCACGAATTATGGTCTTCAAACGGCCAATGAAACTGTCACACTTTGCCCGAATGTTGCTCTGCGTTATTTTTGGTCCATTCCCGGCGAAGCCCTTGCTTGAGGTGTTCGACACTTTGGTATTTTTAGTGCCAACCTTGATTTTCAAAATACCCTAGACACAATAGTCCAACGAATTAGTATCCGGAGATTTTGATGGCCATTGTGTGCTGAAAATGAAGCGAGGAACCTCATTTTGTAACCAGTCCTGTCGGAACACACACATGTCTGCGGCCAAAACGTTTGCGTGCCCAAGGCTTCAATACACCCTCCAGAATATTTTCGCTGTAATATTCGGCATTTATTTATAATAATATTCGATTAATAAGATCGCAGAGAGACCAACGCCTGTTATGGCGGCCCACACAAGCACCATGGCCAGCGCTTGGGTTCAGGTGGCCATTTTCAGCTGACCTCTTTGGCAAGTAAACACGAACATTTTGTTTCTTTACAAACTGCTGTACAACAAATGTGTTCTGATCGGAGAAAACCAAATTCGGCAGTTTACCACTTTCGGCCAAGCGAAGCACCTCTTTAGCTCTTTTGAGTCTATTTTCTTTCTGTTGCGGTGTAAGTTCTTGCACTTTTTGGAATTTCAATGGCTTTACCCCGAGCTCATTTTTCAATATTTGTTGGTTGCAATTTTTCCCCTTACCCTATCCCATCAGCAATATCTTTAAGAAATTCACACCCCCTAAAAACGTTTAAAAAATCCACGCCTTTATCCTTGATATCCTTCAAAACCGCACGACTATGGCAATTTGGATTTTCATTGTCAAAGCTTTAACATGTCTCTCTCTTGAGAGAGTGAAAACGTTCGATTATTCCACTCTCTATCGATAATAATGAAATTATGGCTTTTCTCCTACATTGCGGGTGAATCCTCTTCGAAGCTTTAACACCTCTCTCTTGAGAGAGTAAAAACGTTCGATTCGATTCCACTCTCTATCGATAATAATGGAATAATGGTCTTTCCCCTACATTGCGGGTGGATCCCCTTCAAAAGACTCCACTCATGGGCAAATACCTTTGTTGTGGCCGTTTATTTAATCTCTAGTCGACATTCTCCGAATCATTAAATTTGCAAAAAGACAGAAATGCAAGTTCCACTGAAAATTTCTTTTTTGGTGATAACAAAAGTTAATTCAATTTCTAGTATTTTTAAAATCTATAAAAACAAATTGTTTTGGGCATAAATTCAACAGTTTTAAGTTTATAGCAGAACCGAATAGAATTCAAAATTAAAAAAAAATGGTTTCAATAAATCTCATTTCAATTCTCATGGTATTGGCTCTGGTTTGTTCCACACAAGCGGAATTTTCATTGAAAGCAACTTCAGTGGACAGCAGAAAACAAACTTCACTGAACCTAGTGTCAACCGAAGTTAATGAATGGGGAAAGACTCTGTATAGCTATGTGTGTACAGCGGGTGAAAATAAGACAGGTAGGGGTGCTATAGAAATTAAAAAAATATTATTTTTTTTATATTTGATTTTTTTAGCTTACTGACCTCTATAAGTTTTGCAAATAAAAGATTTGTTTTATTGCATTTTTCCCAACGTTTCTTTATTTTATTTTATTTTTTTATTTTTTATTTTTTTTTATTTTTTTTATTATTTTTTATTTATTATTTATTTTTTTTTTTTAATTATGAATTTCTTATTTCTAGAATCTCTCGGTTGCTATGTAAAAAGTTCGAATGACTGGCCAAGGGATCAAAATTTGGAATTGACCGCCAGCTGTGACAAAAGTTCCGAGGCCAAGAGCATACAATATGTTGAAACCCTGTTTGTAGTATCGACCCAAAATGTGGCCTGTAGCATTTCGTCGGGCAGCATGCGTAGCACTTATGTCGAAGTGAAAGTCAATGTTTGGGGCACTGCAGCCTTGAATTACACGTCTTTGTTTTACACAAATTAAATAAATTCGATTAAGAAAAAACTCAAAATTCAAGAATATAGAAAAATATATAACTAAGGTATTATTAAGAGATTTTTTTTTTTTTTGTTATTAATCTGCATATCAGACTTCGTGAGTTTCAAATTTTACGTATTTTAAAAAAGCGTAACAGTTGAAGTCAAAGTTGTCAATTAGAAATGTAATCAAGTTAAATTAATTATTTCAATCCTACTTTCGATATAGTCTACCACAATATAATACAAAGTCAAAATGAGGACTTATATAAAAATATTTTTCGTAAACCAGTTAGACACCCATTCAAATCTTCAAATACAAAAATTCTGACAATTCCGTCAAAAATATTGGAAAAGCAGTCAGAATACCTAATATAGAGGCTATAAATATCGGATGGAGGCTATAAATAGCGGCTGAAACACCCATTTTCAAATGAGCTCGAGCTATTGCTGATAGTCATATTCATTAATTGACGTGTGGAGAAAGTTCGGATAAACATCATAAGCCTTTGCCGACTTTTAGGCGGATTGTTGTCGCGCAAAAAATCTATTTTGTATTTTATTTCAAATGAAGCAATCTCCTTAAAAATACCTGAAATCGTTGGGAAATGTCCAAAATCGAGCGGAACTGATTGTTGATACTTTGTTCAGATTTGACGCATAACCTGAAGAGAGGGCTTCACAAGATCCAAAATTGGACTAACGTTATTATGTAGACAGCCAAATGCCAAATTATTGCCTGGAATACTACCAAATGTGGTAAAAACAACAAAAAACCAAAAAAATGGCTAGACCAAAACGTGGATCCTTTTCGATTTTTTGTATCACTTTGTAAAATTAAAAACGTGGATGAAACCTTTAAAACCCGAAAATCTAACTGAAACCTTTGTATATGGCCTCTACCAATATTGGAAAAACTACAGTCAGATTATAGACCAACTTGGAAGAAACAAGTAAAACAAGCTGTAAGTTCGGCCGGGCCGAACTTTGAATACCCTCCACCATTTGGAACAAATTTTTCAAAGAATAAAATTCTGTTAAAATCTTAAAAATACCAAATGTAGCCGTTATTTTAAGGTATGTAACACGACGTGGACCTGCCTAAGCAACTTTGGTAATAAGCCATTAAAATATTCAAATACTAAACTTGACAAAAAACGGTAAATATTGTAGCTCATACCGAATATAAGAAAGAGCCATTATATGAGAGCTATACCAAGTCTTGGACCTGCACACACAATTTTCTGCCATAGGCTCTAGTATCCATTACATACTTCAAATAACAAATTTCCGCTGAAAAATGTCGCTAATACCATCAAAATATCGGATATCCGGAGGTACCGTTATATGAGGGCTATACGAAGACGCGGACCTGCACAGGAAATTTTCTGTCATAGGCTGTAGTATCCATTACGAACTTCAAATACTAAATTTGAAGCAATTCCGGCAAATAATGTCGCTAAAATCATCAAAATACCGAATATTAGGAGGTACCTTTATATGGTGACTATACGAAAACGTGGACCTGCACAGAAAATTTTCTGTCATAGCTGTTGTGTTCAGTTGCGAACTTCAAATACCAAATTTGAAACAATTCCGGTAAATAATGTTGCTCAAATCATCAAAACACCGAATATCGGGGGTACCGTTAAATGGGGGCTATACGAAGACGTGGACCTGCACAGAAAATTTTCTGTCATAGCTGTTGTGTTCAGTTGCGAACTTCAAATACCAAATTTGAAACAATTCCGGTAAATAATGTTGATCAAATCATCAAAACACCGAATATCGGTAGGTACCTTTATATGGGGGCTATACAAAGACCTGAACCTGCACAGACAATTTTCTTTCTTAGGCTGTAGTATCCATTACGAACTTCAAATATCAAATTTGAAACAATTCCGGTGAATAATGTTGCTAAAATCATCAAAATATCGCTTATCGGTAGATACCGTTATATGGTGGCTATACGAAGACGTGGACCTGCACAGAAAATTTTCTGTCATAAGCTGTAGTACCCATTACAAACTTCAAATACCAAATTTGAAATTATTCCGGTAAATAATGTCGTTAAAATCATCAAAACACCGATTATCTGGAGGTACCGTTATATGGTGGCTATACGAAGACGAAGACCTGCTCAGACAATTTTCTATCATTGGCTGTAGTATCCATTACGAACTTTAAATACCAAATTTGAAACTATTCCGGTGAATTATGTCGCTTGAATCATCAAAATACCGAATATCCGGAGGTACCGCTATATGGTGGCTATACGAAGACGTGCACCTGCACAGACAATTTTCTGTCATAGGCTGTAGTATCCATTACGAACTTCAAATACCAAATTTGAAACGATCCCGGTGATTAATGTCGCTAAAATCATCAAAATACGGAATATCCGGAGATATCGTTATATGGGGGTTATACGAAGAGGTGGACCTGCTCAGACAATTTTCTGTCATAGGCTGTTGTGTTCATTGCGAACTCCAAATACCAAATTTGAAACGATTTCGGTGAATAATGTCGCTAAAATCATTCAAAAACCAAATATCCGGAGGTACCGCTATATGGTGGCTATACAAAGACGTGGACCTGCACAGACAATTTTCTGTCATAGGCTGTAGTATCCATTATGAACTTCAAATACCTAATTTGAAACAATTCCGGCGAATAATGTCGCTAAAATCATCAAAATACCGAATGTCGGGAGGTACCGTTATATGAGGGCTATACGAAAACGTGGACCAACATGGCACATTTTCAATACCAAAAGTCCTGTAGACATATACATTTAAGTAAAATTTTTTTTTTTAATCTACTTAATTTCGTTCGGAAGCTAGAGTGATTTCCACAGGCGAGGTGTTACAAACAGAATGACAAACTTAATATACCCTACCCCATACTACGGTGGAGGGTATAAAAAAACTCATAACAACACCTTTGTTATATATTTTCCTATATTCTTGGATTTTGAGTCTAATTTATTTAATTTGTGTAAAATAATGACGTGTAATTCAAGGCTGCCGTGCCCCGAACATTGACTTTAATTTCGACATAAGGGCTGCGCATACTGCGCGACGTAATGCTACAGGCCACATTTGGCGTCGACACTACAAACAGGGTCTCAACATATTGTATGCTCTTGCCCTGGGAACATGTGTCACAGCTGGCAGTTAATTCTAAATTCTGGTCAGTTGGCCAGTCATTTGAACTTGTTGCATAACAACCAATTGGTCCTAAAACAAAAAAAAAAATAAATCGAAATTGAAACAAAAATATATATTTTTTTAAATTTTCGTATCACCCTTACGTATCATATTTTCACCCGCTGTACACACATAACTGTATAGAGTCTTTCCCGATTCGATAACTTCCGTTGATAATAGTTTCAGGGAAGTTTGTTTTCTGGTGTCCACTGAAGTGGCTTTCAATGAGAATTCCGCCTGTGTGGAACAAACTAGAGCCAATACAATTAGAATTGCTATGGGATTTATTGTAACCATATTTTTGTTTTCAATTCTATTCGGTTCCGCTATAAACTTAAAACTGTTGAATTTATGTCCAAAACAATTTGTTTTTATAGATTGTGAAAATACTTGAAATTTAATAGATTTTTCTTATCACCAACGAAGACAATTTCAGTGGAACTTGCATTTTTATCTTGTCACAATTAAACGATTATGAGACTACCGACTAAGTAGATTAAGCAAACGACCACAACAAAGGTTCCCATGAATATAGGTTCTCGGGACGTGGATCCACCAACAATGGAAGAGAAACGAAACAACTAAATATGGCGAGATAGGGAAATAATCGAACTTTTCTGATACTAGCTACAGAAAAAATATGTGAAAGCTCTGAGAAGGGAAATGAAAAGTGATAGCGATCCAGGCCATAATCGTGGACCTGTTAAGGCTATTTGTGTTCCGGAGTTTAATTATATTGTTAATTTTTTAGCCCAATAATTACCGTGGTTTCTAAAAATTATGTTTGGAACATAACTGTGCTATAATTTTGGATTTTTATGAGAATTTTACAAATGTAAAAAAGTGGATTATTTAAGGACTTTTTTAATCCTGCATAAGAATAATATTCGATACCCGATATCATATACGCTTTATTTCATTTTTTTGAGATTGGATCAGATTTAGATATGGTGAAAATCGGCCTAAGACAGAAAATTGTCTGTGCAAGTCTACGTCTTTGTATAGCCCCCATATAACGGTACCTCCTGATGATCGGTATTTTGATGATTTTAGCGACATTATTCACCTGAATTGTTTCAAATTTGGTATTTGAAGTTCGTAATGGATACTACAGCCTACGACAGAAAATTGTCTGTGCAGGTCTACGTCTTCGTTTAGGCCCCATATATCAGTACCTCCCTATATTCGGTATTTTGACGAGTTCAGGTACAATACCCACCGAAATTGTGTGAGATGTCGTATTTGAAGTTCGTGATGGATGCTACAGCCTATGGTAGAAAATTGTCTATGATGGTTCACGTCTTCGCACAGCTCCGATATAACGCTACCTCCCTACATATGATATTTTGATGATTTTAGCTACATTATTCACCGTTTATTTCAAGTTTCGAATTTGAATATGGTAATGGTTTATGACAAACAATGCCTTTGTAGGTCCACGTCGTATAGACCCCAATAAAACGGCTATATTCGGTATTTTTAAAATTTTAACAGAATTTTTTAAGGATTTTATTTTTTGAAAATTTTCAAAATTTTCGGCCCGGCCGAACTTACTGTTTTTTAATTAGTTTTTTAATGTTATTGAATGAAAGCAAAAATATCGGAAATAGCATCAAATTTTAAAATAAGTTTAGATTTGTTCGAATTGATCACCTTTGGCACGAATTATGTCCTTCAAATGGCCAATGAAACCGTCACACGCTTCCGGAATGTTGCTCTGCGGTATTTTGGCCCATTCCCGGTGAAGCGCTTGCTTGAGGTGATCGACACTTTGGTATTTAGTAGTGCCAACCTTGCTTTCCAAAATACTCCAGACACAATAGTCCAACGGATTGGTATCCGGAGATTTTGTTGGACACTGAGCATGGAAATGAAGCAAGGTACCTCATTTTGTAACCATTCTTGAGCGGAGCATGCTGAGTGCGATGGTGCTGAGCCCTGTTCGAATTTCCAAGGTCTGCGGCCAAAATATTTGCGTGCCCAAGGCTTTAATTCACCCTCCAAAATATTTTCGCGATAATATTTGGAATTTATACGAGCTGAGAGCGACCATCGGCTGTTATGGCGGCCCACATCATCACCATGGCCGGCGCTTGAGTCCTAGTGGCTAACCGAAGGTGTACATCTTCAGCTGACCTCTTTGACTGACCACGAATGTGTTCTCATCGGAGAAAACCAAATTCGGCAGTTCACCACTTTCGACATTTCACCATTTTAGCGACATTATTTACCGGAATTGTTTCAAATTTTTTATTTGAAGTTTGTAATGGATACTACAGCCTATGACAGAAAATTGTCTGACAGAAAATTGTCTCGTATAGCCCCCTATAACGGTACCTCCCGATATTCAGTATTTAGATGATTTTAGTTACATTTTTTTTTTCAAATTTCGCATTTGAATGGCTTATGACAAAAGGTCCACGAGGGCCAGAAGAAGAGAATGTGGAGTCATTGTGAAAGCGTTTAACCTTTAAAGTAAAAGGTAAAAATTTAGCCAGAATCAAATAAGCTTCTCAGTCGCCACGTATCCAATGTATTTTTTAGTATTTATTTTTTTAGTACTTTTCGAATATATCGTACAAATCCTCGTCCGTACTTACGTTTCAAACTCACAAATATCTTAATACCGAATTTTATCATTTCAGATCTATTCTCACTTTTCGTACTCCTTATATTACGCAGTTCCAAATCCACATCCTTATCTAAAACGTACACACTCACAGTGATCATAATACCAAAATTCACATTCCACATTACATTCTATAGCTAATTTAGTACTATTTAGTACTTGTCGTACACTATATGCTACATATTTGCAAATACACTTCCTTAACTAAACGCTTTGCCATAATACCTACATTTATAATTTTGGTCCGATTCCTACGCACTTTGCCAAATTTAGTTCAATTTAGTACTTTTCGTACACATATTGTATGCATTTCAAAAACCACCTCCATTTATCAGACGTTCTTAAAAATATTGATTCCAAGATTTAAGCTCTACCCGCAAAAAAAATCATTATAGTACCTAATCAGTAGGTTTTAGTACTTTTCGTCCACTCAAAATTCGAATTTTGGAAAAAAGGCTTTGGTAAATCTATACTATGGTGGAGCATACCATTCCAAATTTTAGAATTCTATTCCTATCCTTTCGGCCCTATACTAATGATAAATATGAACCTTTTAGTACTTTCCGTACCGATGTTTCTCCCTGCGCCTTTTTATCACAGACAACCCTACGTACCAAAATTGAGAGTTATAGAATCTCCCAATCGCTCAGTATTAAGGGTTCCATAAGTAGTACATTTTCGTAACTCTCGGGGATAAATTTTTAAGATCCTAACGCCAACCGTTTTTATTCTGAGCGTTGATGAATCTGTCAGTCAGTCAGTAAATTAGTGAACTCATCTTTTCAATGAATATTTTAGGAAATTTAGAGCTTTTGTGTGACGTGCCCAAAGCAGTGAACAATATGGTCCAAAGTTATTAATTACACACCATAGTTCCGCGGAGCGCTCTGTTTAATATCGCGTTAAAATATCTCACATTGTATGCTACAATTTTTTATATTTTATTTTAATTACATCTACTCTTTACTGAATATAAAACAAGGAAGAATATTCCAAATAATTTGTTCCCGCAGCATAAACTTTTACTTCAATGGAACTGGTACCAATGCTGCCGGCAGAAACGTTGCAGCCCACATTTTGTGTGGAAACAACAAAATGTACCTCGACATAGGTGATAATTCTACCAACATTGCTTTTGTCGCAGCTGACAGTCAATTCCACATTTTGTTCACTGGGCCAGGCGACGGAATCGGAACCAACACATCCCAGAGAATCTGTGTTCGAAACTATAAAATTGTATTCATAATTTTTTTAATGGTTTTATGAACATACCAGTTTTAATTTGTCCCACAGTGCACACAAAACCATAGAGGGTATCTCCCGATTTTGTTTTCTGAACAGACTTCAATTCCTTGAGAACTGGTGCTTCGTTTGCATTAACAGGAGAGACCTTTAAATGCTTTACAGCTGGCTCCTCTAGGGATTTTCCCGGATTGACATTCAAAACAACTTCGGCCTTTAAACTGGAGAGGCATCCCAAAAGTCCCAGAACTACTAACTGCTTGGCGGAGAACATGTTGATGTATGGAGGCCTAGATTTGAAGACTGTTTGAAAGGAAGGTAAAAGAGTTACCTTTTATATAGCTCTGATAATGACATCGTTCAAAAAAAAATCAACGTTAATCGCCTATTAAAAAATTCTCCGAAAATTGCATTCTTATCGCACATTTTGAATATCTTCATTGACCAATGGCGTGAAAGAAAGTGCTAGTATAGAAACTACAGGGCTGGTCTCTTAATCTTATCGGGATTTTTCCTAGGAAAATGTCTGGTACGAAGTGAGACAACTACAACTACCTACAGAGTAAGATGAAAAAACTGCAACCAACTTCAGACTGCTGTCATTCCAAAGCCACTCGTCCGACAGCTGTTAAAATTATTCCAGTGACAGCTCATTATGTTGTTTACAAGCGTACAAAAGCATTTTAGTGAGAATTTTCCACAAAAAAAATATTCGTGATGGAATTCAAGCGTGATAGGGTTATTTCTTTATATTTGGCTGGAAAACCACAAGTTACTATCGTTAGAGCTCTCCGGCATTTAAATGTGAATAAATCTTTTGTGTCTCGTACCATCGTGATACTGGTAGCGTAGCCCGACATCAAGGAAGTGGATGGAAGAAAACAGCAACATCAGCAGAAATTGTTCGAAACGTTAAGAAGCGACTTGATCGAAAACCGCGTCGCAGTGGCCGAAAAATGTCTAGTGAGCTGAACATATTGCAATATTCCATTCGGTAAATATTGAAAAATGAACTCGGTGTAAAGGCATTGAAATTCGAAAAAGTGTAATAACTTACACCACAACAGAAAAAAAATAGACTCAAAAGAGCTAGAGTTGCTTCGCTTGGCCGAAAGTGGTAAACTGCCGAATTTGGTTTTTGTCCAACAGTTTGTAAACAAACAAAAAAGATCGTGTTTACTTGTCAAAGAGATCAGCTGAAAATGTGCACCTTCGGTTGGCCATCAGAACTCAAGCGCCGGCCATGGTGATGGTGTGGGCCGCTAAACCAGTCGATGGTCGTTCTCCGCTTGTGTTAATCGACCGTGGACTCAGAATAAATGCCGTGGATACGCAAACATTTTGCTTGCAGACCTTGAACATTCCAAGAGGACCCCACACGCGCCACCCAAGAATCTCCGGATACCAATCCGTTGACTATTGTGTCTGGAGTATTTTGCAAAGCAAAGTTGGCACTAAAAATTACCAAAGTATCGATCAC